CAGTTTAAAATCCTTTGACAGAGAGAGAGACAGAAAAGGATAACTCTACACAGGGGTATCCAGAGATAAGTAATGGAGAGAGGTAGCAAGACTTGTTGCCATGGTGACACGCCCCATGTGTATGAGCAAGGTTTTTGAATAAATGACCTTGACAAGCCAGATGTCTATCTGCTTATTCAACTCAGAACAACACACACACACACACACACACACACACACACATAAAGAGACGCTGACACTCCTGATGAGATGGCTTTAAAGAAAGGTAAATGTCTGGGTGTAAAGAAAACAGACAAACGAGGCAGACATCATTATTAGAAACTGAATGTGGGAGATGTATAATGTTTTTACAGGTGAGAAAGTAAGCAGGATCGGAAGTTCTTTCAGGCTTTCTTTTCTTCATATGAGAACTATGATAGTCTCCCAGAAAAGACTGTCCAATAGTCCGTTCCATTATCTACATTAGTAGAGTCATACACTTACTATGAAGGCCAGCTTTTCTTTCCAGCTTTGTGTAAGGCAGTATAGGGCAGCTATACGCACTTTGCCATCTGATACTACAAGGATTAATTACGCTTGCTACATTCCTAGAAGTATTTCATTCTTGCTGAGGGTGGTCAACAAACTTCAATGGTCCGCTGACTAAACTGCAGCTTAACCAAGGGAAACGGTGGTAAATAAGGGTACTAATAAAGAACATCCTTTGCATGCCTGTTTTGATTATGGTATGTGATCTGACAACCATTTAGCTTGTCTTGATTATGGATATAGCTAACGACTACTTTGATTATGAGAAATGTTGGTCAAAACCTAAATGTTGGTCAAAACTTAAATGTTTTGACCAACATAAAATTAAGAACCTTACCATTCCTGTTTTAATCAGTTTATACTATCTTAATATGCGATCACATTTTCTTGCTCTACTTAGACATGATAAGGATGCATTATAATAAAAAAACTATAAAATTCTTTTGTGTAATACCTTGAATAACCCTTACGATTACCTATCCCAGATAGCATAACAACACTAAGTAATGTATACTGATTATTGGTTAGTGGCTAGCAAGCAGTACAGATTAAAGTTAAGGAGTACTCTTAGATCCTGCTATGGGCTTGTTAGCCTCCCTGGTATAGGCCTTAGTATTTTAGTATGTTTGCACTGTTTACTAAAATGTGTTTTTGGAGTTTAACTGGGAATTTTTGGGATTTCATATTGCTTTATGTAACAGCAATGCTGCTAGCCTCTAAGCTGTTCAGTGCTAGCTAGCTGCTAAGCACTTCTGGGTTTGTTTGGGCAGTTGGTGATAGGGCTGTTCGATATAACGATATATATCGGATGATAATATAAAAACGTCTATCGTTTCATTTTACGCTATCGTTTGTTTCGTGGTGTCGCAAAATAAACTGTTATTAAACTTATATTTAATATAACCACACTACCGACGGACAAGCGCCTGTTTTTATGCATTGTGGTTAGCAACAACGACGGTAACAGCATCACGTGTCCGCTTGTTTATGTTCCACATAAACCTTTCACAATAAAGCTCAAGATCCTGTTGAGACTTTTCAAAATAAACTGAATCACGTGAAAGGGCAGATTATTTACGAATGAGAATTAAAAAAGAGCCGCCAGGTGCTAAAAAATAAACCTTAGACTCAAACGTTAGAACAGGCTGTAATAAATACTCACAAAGAAACTTTACAACTTATGTCTAAAAATGTATAGTTTCATGCATCGGTTAAAACACTCCAGCTACATGACGCGCAGCTGGAAACACTTCCCGCAAGACGAGCTGCCCGAGATTCACAGAATTTACAGAAAATGTTACATTTTTGTGATTTATTTCGTTATGATAGAATTCTTATATTGGGATATGAGATTTTGGTCATGTCGCACAGCCCTAGTTGGTGACATACTTCCTTTTCTCTAAATCTCTGCCATAAAATTTAAATGTTGGAAAGCTGTTGGCAGCAATAATAGAAAGATTCAATCAAGTGTCATTTTTCTTTGCTTGTTACAAATAACAAACACAATGGATTTCATATTAATAATGGCATTAAATAGCAGAAATGCTATCTAATGCCTCTGTAAGTTCCAGATGTAAACTGCATCCATCTCTTATATACACTTGGACCAGCTATGGCCTTTATAACATGATATGAAGTATTCTTTCTGTAGTTTCACAACGGTATGTTGCTCATGTAGAAAGTAATTTATAGTAAATTAGGGAGACAAAAACACTTTCCTTTATTGTAAATCATGTTAGAGCAAAAGCAAAACCAAGAAACAATAATATAACACGTCTGTGGCAGCAATTCAGTAGAGCAGTACTGTAGAAGCATTGAAATGAAAGAATAAAAACAGGATCAGTGTGTTTCTCTTCACCTTATACTCCCAATCTACATTTTCCCCCTTTGTTCCACTTTTTCCCCAATGCTTTTTATTTTTGTCTCTTCAGACATTCCTTTTCATTCCTGACCCTTTCACCTACTGACATTTGATGAAGTGAAACCCTAAGGATTTTCACTTGCTTTCTACTTTGTCTCACTTACTTCTGTCACTCGGTTCATTTTATCATTTGGACTTTACTAAATGCCTCCTTGCACACTCCTCTGTCTTCCACCATAAATCTATGAAACATTTGCATTTTAGTCTTACAGCGCCTAAAGCAGCTCAGGGATAAAGTAAACATTCATTACAGAGAAAGAAGGAAAACAAAATGCTAAAGATAAATCAAGACTAAAAAAAGAGAAAGGAAGACTAAAAAAATTCATTTGGTTTGCCTAAGCCTTTTGGCAGAGTTCTCATTTCAGTCTTATTCTTCATTTCACACCTCTCTGTTTCAGCTTTTACTTAAAGTCATACTTCAGAAGGCATTTGCATTCACAAAGGGACACCTGTGACATCTTACGTGCAAATTAAAAACAGTAATCCTTCTAGAACAGAGTACTCTGACGTAACATGCAATGTTACATGCTAACATATTAACATGCTACTTTATCCTCAGACAGCAAGTTCAGTTCTCATGGCTTTTTCACATTTTCTTTTCTTTACGTATTTTTTTAAATACGTATTTATGAATTTAAATTCATAAACGTGTGCATTTGCTTCAGAGAGCCAGTGATGTGACAGCAGTTGTACAGCAATGCTTCTGGTCGATGACATCATGTTCAGGCTGTTGTTGAGCTTTGTTGAAATTAAAAATGCATGTCAATAATTAAAAATGCATTGGTTAAAAAAAAAAAAGGGGGGGGGGGGGTGCATGCATCTATGACATCAGAAAGGTGCTGTTTGGTCATTTATCCAGCGTGAGTTTGTGTGGCTTGATTGAGGATGCATTAAGACATGTAGGACGGCAGTGCTTTAAGCCTTCCTGCTGAACTGAACAATGTTAAATTGTGTCAGATGTGTGTATTAACACTTGGGAAATGCAAATGGCGCTGTGTACGTATAAAAGCTAAGACGTGTAATTTGTACAAAAAGGTCCAGCTTTACCTGCCGTGTCACATCAGATACGTGTTGGAATTTATCAAGCTGCAAGCCGTTTCTGCACAAAAGATTGTGATTAGTTTCATTGTGGGAGAAGTCACACAAAGAACTGCTTAAAAGTGTAAAAGGAGCCACACTTGTAACCTTACTGTAATGATTGTCTGTATGTACCCTACCTCCTCCTTAATGGGCGGGCCAAATTGAATTAAATTTTGCACAAACAGCAGCACACATCCAGCGATTGTTAATATCTATATGTAAAAAAAACCAGAACAGATTTATTATTAACCGCAATTCTTTTGATTTTCGTATTCACCCACCTGCAAATGTCGTTATGTTCACCATGTTCATGGTTTTGTTTCAAGTGTCACGTTCAGTGTACACCACACGTACGGGACTTAATGATCACAAAAGTTTGTAACTGCAGTGGAATTTTTGTTTAAGCATTGGCTGCTTTTTCTTTCATCTCCAGTCCAGTCCTTGTACCTGGCTATTTTCAGAAGAATGCTTTTCGTTTGTTTGTTTGTTGGTTGGTTTGGACACGTAACATTAACCTATGAATCATTTGAACATAAAGCGACTAACTGTTAACAGAAAAGAACCAAAGAAATTATTTTAAATTGTATCTTCAGTATCTTTGTTACTAGTATTCTGTCACAAAAACACACAATTTTTCCCATTTTCTTTATTCAAGCTATGAAAATAGAATAATTTCACTGAGATAAAACTGTATTTTTGCACCAATAAGATGATTCTTTGTTATTTGCTACCAGAATCCTGGTAAGAGTAAAAGTAAGAAAACATAATTCCAAACAGTAGCTAAAAAACCAACAACCCCTCCGCCCCCAGATACTTTTAAGCCTTCTTGCTTCCTCGTGCATACTTTCTAGTTCTGTTAAACAAGGCCACTAACTCTGCAGCCAATATTAAACTGGCACTGACTCTGAAGTCCCGTGTCCGTATCTCTATGCTGCCTCCAGCAGTATTTGAAACCTTGAGATGAGAGTGCGTTGCCAAGGTGGACTGCAAAATATCCACAGCACGTATCCAAGCTGAATAAGAATAATTATTATCTGGTCAGCAAGAGCCAACTCTGGATACATAAAAATTGGATAAAGTAGGGTATCATCCTTAAAAATTCCCACTCTCCGTGTTTCATGTCATGTCTGACCCATATTAAAAAGAGCTCGAGAAGAAAACGATAATCCAGTTTTCAGTTAATCAGCACAACATGATTCTGTGCACAAAATGTTTTTGTGTATCTTGTCAGAACAAACTATTTTGCAGCTATTCCCAGAAAATCCCCTTCTGTGCTGTGTCAACCTCATAGTACCAATAATAACTCTGCTGGCACGCCTGCTTTCTAATACAAAGTTTACCAAATGTGTCACGATCAAGGCAAACAAAAATGCACAGAAGCGCGATGCAAACCAACTTAGAGTTTGTTGTTCTTTACTCTGAGTCACATGTTGGTTTTTATGTGTTTTTCCCGCTTCTTTTTCCCCCGCAGCTTGTCCTCAGGGCACCTTTAAGTCATTCCAGGGGCCAGGACTGTGTCAGCAATGTCCGCCCAATAGCCGCTCCACTATCGAAGCTGCCACCCTCTGTGGTTGTCGGAATGGCTATTACCGAGGAGACATGGACAAACCGGAGGACCTGTGTACCAGTGAGTCAGCCTTTTTTTTCTCCCCATCAGACGCAATAGATAAATCTTTCAATATGAGCTTCAAGATGACCAACACATGTTTGCGAAAGGCAGGATTTTGGATGAAGCAACCAATAGCTGACATACTCGAGCGTATCAGTGGTTGACACCATCGACAGTCCAATATTTCATCATTAAGTTAAAGGCCAACATCTGCTTTGATTTATCATTGCGCCCCTAATTCTCTGTGCCTCGTTCAGAGCGCTGTAGCATCCCTGTCCTCATTAGGGGATTTGGGGAGCGGTAAGTAATAATGCTGCCACATTCCTCGGGCTTTCCATTGAAGTGAATATGTGTTTAGTGTGTTGAAGAGGCTATATTGCTATGCAAGATGAGGCACAGAGTTTGAAAAATGGAGCTCTCAATTCCTCAGAGAGATGGTGTAAGTAGGTTGAGACATGAATCATTTTGGACTGCATGCAGTTAGTCTGTGTGTGTGTGAGTGTGTACCTGTGTGCTTGTACATGTCCAGGTGACCTGAATACAGCTTTATGTTTTGGGGCGGGGGGGTTAAAAAGCACTGGTTCATTCATAGTCTGGCCATATTTTGCTGTCACAGAGTCATGAATGAATTTGCAATGCTACGTCAGAAAAGCAGAACAAATGTTGACGGTGAATATTGCTGATCGGACCCACATTTTGCGTTATTTTCTTGTGCACTGGCTGTCACATTTGCATTCCTTTTGCATGTTCGTCATTTCATATATTTGAGGAATTGGCGCTTTGCTCTGGTTTACACTAATCAAATCAAACTCAAAAACTGGGCATCTTTTCAGTCGCCGTCCTGCATCAACAGTGTTACACGAAACCCAAATCAAATTCTTGTGACTGACAGAATTTCTTGTCCTTTTTTTTTAATCCTCTGCAGTCAGTGGAGTTCACTAAAAAAATGCTGAACACAAGCTTAAGTTGAGTCTGCAACTAAGCCTCATATGTTAGCGACATAACAGCAGGCAAGCAATACAAAAAAACATCAGTCTTATAACTTCATGTGTGGAAGAATAAATGTTTGCCAGGTATGAGTCAATCTTTTCTTTTTTAATGAGGTTCTTTTACATAGATACACAACAGTGGCGGTGCATAAGGTCGGCAATTAGTGAGACCCTCTTACAAAGTGCTAAGAGCGGGTTTTCTGGACTGAAAATAAACAGCTGTATAATAATGGCTGTCTCTTTGCTCACCTCTGGGATTCTCCCAGCACAGTTGTCATTTATAGAAAAAGTCCCACGACGAACACTCAGACTATTTTGTGGTTTCCACCATGGATCTTACACAGACAGCAAACATCAATTTTCTGATGAAAGCTTGGTTTGTGGATCCCAGTCAGGCACTCAATAGTTTTTCAGTGAATGGACCCACAGTATCCACACCTCATCCTAACCTCCACATGTCACATCAGGTACATACTCTGAATTCATTGACCGGGGTCAGACTGTTAAGTCTGAGTTCCACTGCAAGTCCTGAGACAGCAAAGAGAAAATTTGTTGAACATCCTGAACTGTAGTGAAGCGAGCTTATGGTTGTTGTCCCGCAAAATCCAGTCAGCTTTGGGCTGATCAGACAGCGTGGCTCAGTACACTCAAGATTTCATGTGGCAATTCTTTACTCTTCTTTATGAGTAATAAAAACAGGCTTGTCTCAGCTGATTCACAGAGGATACAGTAAACTTCAGATTAGCAGGGTTAGGGGCTCCAGGCCTGCTTTTCCTGTTATTCTGGTACAGGTCGATCATTTTGTCTAAACGCCGTTAAGAATGCTGAATGAGTGCTGCTCTGATCTTTCTATCCTTGAGACTGAACACTGGTATGTATACCTAGTATAAACCCTGTTTATCGGTTTGTTCTCATGGCATCTTGTTTTCATTGCTGACCTGGATATTTATATGTCTACCTCATGGAGAATGCTCTTTTTACAGCTTCTTCATTTATGCTGGAAATCCTTCTGTGATCATCCACACCATTGCCTTCTGTATAAATCCAATGTGTCTTATGTTTCCATCCACACCAGTATGTTCTTTCATTTCTGCAAAATATTCTGTGCTGTTGATTTGTCTACTCTTAGAGTTCAACTTCCCTATTACGTTTTTTTTTTTTTTTTTTAGGATTACCTGATTTACTTGCATTGAAAACCTTGAAATTGAAACCAGTTGTGGGTTCAGTCAACACCTCAAACTCATTGTTGTGTTCCTCAAACCATTCCTGGTTCCTGATGATAGAACCCGAGGTTTCCCAGGAAAACATTGGCCAAATCACTCTGTCTCCTCCCCATAGTGAATCCTAGTTCCATGTGTTCCCCAGGTAAGCTCCACAGACACCCACAACAGAAAGAAAATGTGATTCATCAGACCACGTCTGATGCTCACACCCCCATTGTTGGTGTCTTTCAATGCTCACACCCCCATTGTTGGTGTCTTTGATGGTGGACCTTGACTGGTCTGTGCCTATGCAGCCCCAGACACAAACCTTTTTGGAAATGCTCTGACACCATCAGCTAGACTCCATCATTTTGCCACCGTTTGTCAAACTCACTCAAATCCTTATGCTTGCTAATTTTTCCAGCTTCTAACACATGGACTTTGAGGACAAAATGTTTACTTGCTCCTTAATATACCCCACCCACAAACAGGTGCCAGGATGAAGAGATAACCTGTGTTATTCACTTCATATGTCAGTGTTCAAAATGTAATGCCTGAACAAGGGCTGGGCGATATGGCCCAAAATTCATATCTTGATATTCTTTAGCTGGATGGCGATATACGATATATATCTCGATATTTTTTTAAGCCATAAAG